CCGCTCGCGAGCGGTCGCGGAGCGCGTCACCCGACCCTCGGCCGGTGCGATCGACGAGGACGCCGTCGAGAGCTGCGCCGGCGCAGCCGACTTTTGCTGGCCCTGCTGCAGGTTGGCGAAGAAGTCGCCGTTGGTCTGCGCAAAGAGGCTCGCCTTGGACGACGCCGCCGCCGCAGCGGGCGCCGGATCCGACGCCCAACGACCTCCGGCCTTGGTCTCAACCGCCAGCGTGAGCTCCGTCTCGTCCAGGCCGAGCTCCTTCAGGCTGGTGCCTGGACGGTGCAGCAGTGCATTGTCCTCGTTGTTGTCGACCAGCTCGACGCCTTCGTCGCGGATGCGCGAGGTTGCTACCGTGCCTCGCTGCAACTCGCTGACCTCGGGCTCCGGCACGTGCCAGAAACGGATGCTACTGTCGCCGACATCGTCGCCCAGCGCCAGCAGCTGCTTTGCCTGCGCCTTGAGGTCGCTGAGCGGCTGGCTGACCGAGATGGCCACGATGGGTGCGCCACGATCCGCGGTCTCGGCCATTTCGTCGGTCATCCGCAGCAGCCGGATCCGCGGCGGGTAGAACTCGATGCTCTCCTGGCCAGGGTTGATGCCGGGGACGACCTGCCTCGAAAACACGGGCCCGTCGACGCCGTACCACGATGCCAGCAAACGCCATCCCTCTTCTGGCAGCATCTCAAAGTCGAGGCCCTCACTGATCTGCGTGCGGAGGTAGGGGTCCGACTCGCTCGAGCCTTCCTCGAGCAGTGATCGGTTGTCGATGGGACCGACGACGAGTGGCGCGTCGTCGCCGTCGTCGCCGTCGGCGGCACTGGCTTCCTGTGCGGCGGCCGTGCTCCACAGCTTGTACCAGCTGCGGTCGATGAGGTACCATTTCTCGCCGACGACCATGGGCTGGGTCTTCATGGGTCGGATGACCTTGAGCTGCTCTGCGCCCGAAGGTCTCGAGGTCGCAGCGATGTCGAGGACGGGCTGCGAGTCGTCGGCCAGTGCGGCGGAGTAGGTTGGCAGGTCGTCGGCGGGCTGCGATGGTGCGCTGGCGGCGTCGTGCTGGAGCTTTGCGGCGGGGTCGTCGAGCCTGAGCGACTTTTCGGTCATGAGGCCCTCGATGGTCATGTCGGAGGCGCTGTTGGCGCCGGGTTCGGACATGGCTGCGGCTGCCGAGGAGGGGGGCGTTGTGGAGGGCAGGATCGAGTGGCTGGACCGCAGCGGTGTCGGGTGCAAAGAGGTAGCGAGCGGTAGGTGGTGTGTCGTCCCTAGCTGCTGCTGCTGCTGGTGTGCTGGGTCGCTGTCGTTGTCGCTGTTTGGCTGTGAGTAGGGGGAGCGGTGGTCGTGGTCGACGTCAGAGCTGTAGTCGTCGATGATGGGGCTGACGGTGCGTGCGCGCTTGTAGGCCGTGGGTGGGTGGTGCACGGAGAGCGAGTTGAGGGTCGAGGATGGGATGTTGCCGGGGCTGTTTGCGGGCGAGGGCGGAGGTCGACGGCTGCCTTGCCTGGGTGAGTGGGGCGGTGCGAGGGGTGAATGCGCTTGGATCTGGATGGGTTCTGAGGCGGGGTTGTGGTGGCCGTGGTCGTTTGCGGAGTCGTTACTGATGGTGGTGGTGGCGGTGTTGGGTTTGGTGGTGATGTCTGGGACGGGCTGGTGGGAGCGAGGCATGGGCTGCTGTGAGTGGAGCACGACCACTCTTGCTGCCGCAGACGGGCGACGGCGGGGTGGCCGATTAGGTTTGGGTGGAGCGGCCAGGGTCGACGCCGTCTTGAGCGTGTGGAGGGGCTCTGAGCGATAAAGCAGAGCAACGGGTGCGTGAGGAGCAAGAGGATGGCGGGCTCAGTCGCAGAAGGCGGGGATGATAGGTAGAGGGCGAGGGGACGGGAGCGTGCGGGCCCCTGTGTATGCAACGCTCGCTGAGGCGCCTGCCAGCAGGGCGGGACGGCAGCAAGTCTGGTGCGGCAGGCACGAGAGGGGCGAGAGGATGCTGCAGACTGCCGGGTGGGTAAAGACGGTGGTGAAATGAGGTCAGTGGCGAAGGATGTGATGGCGATGGTGGCGACGATGAAGGTTGGCGAGCGAGAAGCGTGTCGAAGTCTGCCTTGGCTGCAAACCAGCGACTCGCCAAGGGCCCGCAGAGAGGCCGGGAGAGGGTGCGAATCCAGGGTCAACTGGCCGTCATTGGCCTCGCCCTCTTCGCCCCGCCAAGGTGGAGCAAAAGCCCCCGCGCCTCGCTGGCTGACCCCCACCAGCACCACCGGGAAGAAAAAGCAAAAAGAAAAAAATCCACGGTGGCCTGGCAGCGCGCCCACCCTCTGCTGGGAAAAATCGGCCCCCAACCATCAGCCTCGAGCCCTTTCCGCGTCGTCGTCGGCTGGCTAGGCACACGTCTGCCGCTACTCACGGCTCAGCCCACGTCGCCAGCGGCCAGCGAGCAATCAGTATCCAACGTCATCCCCCTGCTCGGCCACACGCTGCTACCCAGAACACGAGCGAGGCGAAAGATTAGGCGACACACGCCTCAGCGGCACAATGCTCCCCGGTCGAGCGCGTCCCAAGCCGAGCGCGGGCCAGGCAGACGGGCCGGCGCCGGCGAGCTGCGCACATGGCCAGCCCGACAGCGCAGCCGAACAGATGACAAGGTGCAGCGTATGAGATTGGCAGAGGATCAAATGTACACGTTGCCATCATTGAGATCCGCCCGCCTGCTGCTGCTGCTGGACAAGCTGCTTGACCGCCTGCCGCTTGGCCAGGTAGCCCCGGTTCTTGGGCGAAGAGTAGTACACTGTCGAGTCGAGGCGCAGCCGTGAATCAAAGAGGACGCAGCAGCGGTCAGTCGCCATTCTGCCAGATCAAACAGAGGACAGAGAGCGCGCCGGCCACCGCATACTCACGGAGGTCCTTCTTGCTCACGGGATCCGCCGGCCTCGGCATCAGCTTGCCGATAAACTTCTGCGGCTTGACCAGCGCCGTCAGGCTCAGCTTGTTGTAGTACCGGCACTCGACGCTCCCTCCTAGCGCCTCAATCGCCGCAATCGCAGACTGCGACGCGCGGTTGACGACCAGGTTGATGGGCGTCTGCAGGTGGCCCGCGCCCTCGCCCAGCACCTTGACGCCGTCGCGCAGACTGTGGATGCACCGCGTCTCAAACAGCTCCTTGGCCGTAATGGGCTCGCTCGGGTCCAACAGGCCGCGGTCGATCCAATGCTGGATCTTGTCCAGGTTGACTGGCACGTACTTCTGCGCGTTGCTGCGGGCGCAAAAGGACGAGGGACGGTGCAAGGACGCGGCTCGGAACGTCAACATCCTGCTGCCGCTCAAGGACGAGGGCGCGGCGATCACTCACACATTGTTGAAGCCGCGCTTGGGGAACCTCCTGGTCAGGGGCGACTGGCCACCTTCGAAGCCAGGCACGGGCTTGCCGTTACCAGCGCGTGCCTTCTGACCCTTGTGGCCTCGCGTAGACGTGCCACCGCGGCCGGATGACGGGCCACGGCCCAGGCGTTTCCGGTTCTTGGTGGGCTGGCCAGGCTTGAGGTTTCCGAGGGTGAGGCTGCTGGAAGCCTCTGAGGCGTACCCGCGGCTGGCCACGAGCCTTGCGATCGAGGGGGTGGCCACCGCCGACCTGGCGAGGCACGATGAGCTGCTGGCCAGTGATGCGAGTGACCTGGAAGCAGTCAGCGTAACGGGGCGGGCTGCGAGTCGGACCGAAGAGGAAGAGGAGGGGGCGGCGAGGGCCAGCCGGCCCATGGATCGGCAGAGGGAAGCGGCCGACATGTCGGCGGGTGCCAAGGGCGGGACGGGTGCTGCACCGAATCCGTTGGCGCTTGAAGACAAGCAGAGAGTGGAGGAGATGTCGAGGCAGCCGTAAGCTGGGCAGGCCAGTGAGCGGGTGGAGAGATGGCGAGGCGACGATGGTGGTGGTGGAGCTCGTTGGCGGCAGCAGCGGCGGCGGATCTTCTGGTTGGCCGCCGTCTGGCTGGTTGCGGTTTGCCCCCCTAGGCTGAGGCTTCTATCGCCCGAAAGAAGAGGCGCGCGTGCCAATTTTGAGCTTTGCGTCCCAAAAGCTTCCTGGCTGCGCTGAGCTCTGGGCTGGGCTGGCAGGGGCCTCTCAGAGTCTCCCTCTGCCTCTGGGCGTGTGCGGCCAAGAAGTGGGGCTGCTCACCACCACCGCCCCCGGCCTCGACCTTCTGACTCGTCCCACGGCCACCTCGTCAAGCGTCTCCTGGCTCACTCTTACCACCGACCCTCCCTCCCGTCCACCTCGCCCTTGCCACGCACACAGCTAACGCGGTCTGCGAGCGACCCCGCCCCCATCAGCCCACCATGCCCACCGTCAGCGTAGACAAGGAGCACTTCTACCAGGCCCTCGGCCGCACCTACACCACCCAAGAGTTTGACGAGCTCTGCTTCCAGTTTGGCATCGAGCTCGACGATGACACCACCGAAGAGGTGCAAAAGGCCGGCCTCGGCGAGCGTGCTCAGCTCAAGATCGACATCCCCGCCAACCGATACGACCTCCTCTGCCACGAGGGCATCTCCCAGGCCCTCAACGTCTTCCTCGGCAGGATCCCCCAGCCAAAGCTCAAGCTCGTCCAGCCCGCACAGATGATCCAGGTCAAGCTCTCCAACGACGTGAGTGTGCTCTTCTCGCGTTGTCCTTCCGCTCTCCTCCCGCTCACCTCTCTCTCTCTCTCTTGCGCCTCTTCCTCTCGCACCCCGCCCTCGCACGCCAGGTGTCGCGCATCCGCCCCTACTTTGCCGGCGCAGTGCTGCGCAACATCAAGTTCACGCCCGAGAGCTACGCCAACTTCATTGACCTCCAGGACAAGCTGCACCAGAATCTCGCCCGGCGGAGGACGCTCGTCGCCATCGGCACCCACGACCTCGACACGATCCAGGCGCCCTTTAGCTACGAGGCCCTGCCCCCCAAGCAGATCAAGTTTGCCCCGCTCAACCGCGAGACCGAGTACGACGCCTCGCAGCTCATGGAGCTCTACGAGTCCGACAAGCACCTCAGCCGCTACCTGCACATCATCCGAGACAGCCCCGTCTACCCCATCATCTACGACCAGAACCGCCAGGTGCTCTCGATGCCGCCCATCATCAACTCGAACCACTCCAAGATCACGCTCGACACCAAAAACGTCTTCATCGACACCACCGCCACCGACGAGACCAAGCTCGGCATCGTCATCAACATCATCGTCGCCATGTTCAGCCAGTACTGCGCCGAGCCCTTCACCGTCGAGCCGGTCCAGGTCGTCCACGCCGACGGCACCACCAAGGTGACGCCCGACCTCAGCGCCACCCGCATGCCCGCCTCGGTCGACTACATCAACCGCTGCACCGGCCTCAAGCTGAGCGCAGACGACATGATCAAGCTGCTCAACAAGATGGGCCACGAGGCCGCCAAGTCGGCCGACCAGCCCGACCAGCTCATCGTCGACATCCCGCCCACCCGGCCCGACATCCTCCACGAGTGCGACCTCATGGAGGACGTCGCCGTCGCCTACGGATTCGACAATCTGCCAAAGACTTTCCCCAGCACCAACACCGTCGCGGCGCCGCTGCCCATCAACAAGCTCGCCGACATCGTCCGGAGGGAGTGTGCCTACTCGGGCTGGGTCGAGGTCCTTCCGTTGATCCTGGTGAGTCGGCCGTGTTGGGCAAAAGAGTCTGCGGTGACAGCTGTCAGAGCAAGACTTGATCTCTGACTCGCCCCGCGTGGCTGTGCCCTGGCTCGCCCTGGCTCGCCCCGCCCGCCTGCAGTGCTCGCACGACGAGAACTTTGCCTTCCTGAACAGCCGCGACGACGGCAAGAGCGCGATTGTGCTCGAGAACCCCAAGACGGCCGAGTACCAGGTGGTGCGCACGTCGCTGCTGCCGGGTCTGCTCAAGACGATCCGCGAGAACCGCAAGCACGCGCTGCCGCTGCGGACGTTTGAGGTGTCGGACGTCGCCTTCAAGGACGCCACCGAGCGCGAGAGGTTGTCGCGCAACCAGAGGCGCGTGGGCGCCGTCTACTGCGACAAGACGGCGAGCTTCGAGGTGGTGCACGGCCTGCTCGACCGGCTCATGGCCTCGCTTGCCATCCCGAGGATCGAAAAGGGCGACAAGACCAAGCCCACCGGCTACTGGATCTCGGAGGCCGAAGGTGAGTGCGGTGTGGGGCTGTGGAGCGGCGTAGGCCGCGAGACTGCATCGACGCGTGCTGACCTGTGTCCTTGCTTGCCCTTCCTGGCCACCCTCCTTGGAATCGACAGACAACACCTTCTTCCCGGGCCGAGCAGCGACAATCCACTTCCGACCTCTTGCTGCGTCGTCATCGTCGTCGTCGACAGAGGCCAAGACCGACGGGGCAGGGCCATCGGCGGGGCAGAGCGGATCCTCTGCGCTCGACACGGTCAAGGAGACGCTGGGCAAGGCGCTCAACGAGGTGAGCGACAAGATCCGCGGCGGCAACGGCAGTGCCGAAGCGGCGTCGCACACCACCAGCGGCGGCGCCAGTGGCGGCATCGGCGGCGACCTCGAGATCGGCAAGGTGGGCGTCATCCACCCGGAGGTGCTCAGGAGCTTTGGCATCGACTACCCGTGCTCGTCGCTCGAGTTCAACCTGGAGCCGTTCCTCTAGACGAGCGCGGCGTGGCGCGGCGCAGTGCAGCGCGACGAAGGTGTTGACGTGGTGGAGAAATGCCGAGGTAGACCCAAGTGGCAATCAAGAGACGTAGCCGTACGCACGGCGTGCCTGCCACCGAAGATCGAACGTGCATGGAGATGAGGGGTGCGCCCCACGACAGAGAGTGAGCGAGTCATGGATGGAGGCGTCGTCGATGGTCGTCGTCGTCATCATCGTACGGGTCGGATTCTATAGCTGGGACCTGGAGGATGGGGTGATGGGGGATGGGGGGGAGACAGAAGTACAGTTGAATGGTGACTTTGCGATGCAGGGCGGGGGGAGGGGGCAAGGGGGGGATTGTGCGTTGAGCCAGTGAGACCGGGGAATAGGAGGGTGGGGATCGTCCGGGGCAGATGGGAAACAGGGGCGGGGTCGTGCATGTACAGGCGAAATTTACTCGATGTGGAAAGGGAACGAGGAGGGAGACCATGACGAGGAAAGGCGGGGCCGAGGGGCATCACTCGGCGTACTGGTCGACGTCGCCGCACTCGCACACGAGGACGCGGTCGCCGTGGGCGTCGTCGATCCTAGCGACGCTGGGCCAGAACTTGTTGTGCCTCAACCCGGCAACCGGGTAGACGGCCTTCTCGCGCGAGTACTCGCGGTCCCACGTCTCGGCGGCGAGGACGTCGGCCGTGTGCGGCGCATTCTTGAGCACGTTGCCCTCCTTGGACGCCTTGCCCTGCCGGATCTCCTCGACCTCATGCCGAATGGCGATGAAGGCATCGACGAGGCGCTCGATCTCGTCGAAGCTCTCGCTCTCGGTGATTTCGATGAGCAGGCCCGTCGAGATGGGCCACGAGCACGTGGGCGGGTGGAAGCCGTAGTCGATCAGGCGCTTGGCAAAGTCCATGACGTTGAGCCCGAGGTCCTGGAACTCGGCCACGTCAATCAGCAGCTCGTGGGCTACGCGGCCGCGGTCGCCCGTGTACTTGAGGCGGTAGTGGTCCTTGAGCCGGTGCGCCACGTAGTTGGCCGAGAGGAGCGCCGTCTCGGTCGACTTGCGCAGGCCGTCCCAGCCGAGCATCTTGATGTAGGCCCACGCAATCGTCAGGATCGACGCCGAGCCCCACGGCGCGGCCGAGATGGGGTCGATGGCCTGCTCGCCGCCCGTCGAGGCCAGCGGGTGGCCAGGCAGGAAGGGCGCCAGGTG